ATTTCTGAATTGCGTTAATTTAACGAGACAACTGAGATTACTACATAACAAATAAAATTATATAAATTGTATAAAAATTATTCGAACAGAGATTTATTCTACTTATTACCAAAATGAAATATCATAAAATATCATGATATATTCTTCCTTTTTAAAAATTACACGAGTATCTCTTGAAAGGACAAAACTGAAACTTTTTCACGTTCTCGTGTTTTGAAACTAAGCTTTTAGAGACGATTATTTCGCGTTCAAAAAAATGCAGATGGACAGGTTGAATTGCAGGTATATTCCCGAGTAGCCTGAAGCTTCGTCACTTCTATAATTAGTTATCTGTTTCGTACTATCGCGATCTGTTCAAGGATAGATGTACGTACATATCTGACAATCCATTTCTCTAACGTACGAGCGAGTGTAATTCTTTTGAATATTAAGAACATGCATCAGTTATGTGTGCACGCGATACTTTTGTTCCTTGCTTGCTTGCTTGAAAATTGAACTTCTTTTCCAGGCAATCTTTTTCGCATTGCGCCGTATCGAATAAACGTGTCTGAATTTAGAAAGGTAATTTCGCACGCGATCAAATCTGCGAAAACTAAAAAAGAATTACGACCACGGGAAAAGAACATGTGAAACATTGAAAATTTACTATTTAATTTAAACGAACAATTCATTTTCATACTATACGGAACGATCATGTTTTAAAGTATTACTTCTTTCTTAAACAATACTTTTTCGTAGTAATTTTTAATAATTTTTTAATATTACCATTTTCATCTTCCTTAGTAATACTGATTCATAATTCCTTCTCGATTTCTTTAACAATTTTTCGTATTAAGTCGATATTTATGTTTTACTTACAATCAGTTACCTTATAGCGAGCTTATGATTCTCAATCAACAAATTGTCGAAATTCATATTGCATTATTTTCAAAACTGTTGAAGTTGAGAACCGTCTGGATTTAAAAATAGTAATAAATTCATTTTGGAATGTTGAGAAGCTCGAAAGAAGAAATTGTCAGTACCCTTATCAAACGATTTTGGAGCGGAAGTGATCTGTCATTCTTTCTTTGTAACAGCCTTCAATAACAGCGTCACACGCAATTAGGTTGATGAAACGAACGGATTTTCCCGATTGAAAATAATAATCTGTGAGTCTTCTATGTTGACTCATATTTCCAATAATTCGAGATATCAAACTGTGTGCTTATCATCGTTAAACTTTCGACGATAATTTATATATACAATGTATGGATAGCTAATTTAATGAAATTGAAAAATAAATGTTTCATCATTAAACTATAGATATTATGTTTACGCAAATATAATGTACGTTTCATCGTTGGATCTGTTCTTTGGAACAGAGATTTATTTTATTCATTACTAAACATTACGTTTATGTACTAAACGAGTTACCGTAAATTAATTACGTCACACATGTTTCTACATTACGGTTTTGCAATTTTTAAAAATTCGTAATTTATTGGTCGCAAAGCGCCATGTAAGGATGAGGTCTGTCAAGTCTCTTCGAATTATCTTTTCCATAACATTCGTTGAAAGTAACGAATTGTCAAACGATTTCGAATCGAATGGCAACCATTAGGCCCCCTTCCCGCCTCGTTGATTTCTTCAACGTTTTTCTTTTTATTTCGAAAGATGCAGCTGTCACACGGGCAGCTGTGCAACTGGCACGAACCTTCTTGTTAAACTGAGCATCTTGTCTGAGAATATACCCACCACCTGGCCCTTCGATCGATGTGTTCTTCGGCTACACGTGTGTGCACGAACGCACATGTCGTGCACCACATACGCAACGCGCACGTGCTCACGCAACAAAGTTACAAGACCGATTGTGCTCTATCCACGGTCACGCGTTCGTCTGTTAACACGTTCCGTTTAT